ATGGACAGCTCAAATGTCCATTGCACATGTGCATGTCCAATGGACATATCGAATGTCCATTGGATATTGGAGTGTCAATTGGATCCAGTGGACTAAACCGGACTTTGTAACCACCGGGAAAGGGCATCGTGGATATACTGAATGAGCATAATGTTCAATGGTCCATTGGATCCAATGGACATTTGAAATGTCCAATGGACATATGAAATGTCCATTGGACATTTGACGACCAAGGAATGTCCATCAATTGAATATATAGCTACTTCTCAATGCTTCCTTGTATTATCAATATATTATGTTGCTTCGTTCCTAAGAAAGCACGCAATATATCAATATAATATGTTATTGCTTCGTTCTTTAAGGAACGACGCAATATATCAATATATTATGTTGCCTAGGATTGCTTTGTTCCTAAGAAAGTACGCAATATATCAATACAATATGTTGTAATGTCCATCAATTGAATATGTAGCTACTTCTCAATGCTTCCTTACTTTCCTTGTATTATCAATATATTATGTTGCTTTGTTCCTAAGAAAGCACGCAATATATCAATATAATATGTTGTTGCTTCGTTCTTAAGGAACGATGCAATATATCCGGCAATATATTATATGTTGCTCTCTCCTAAGAAAGCACGCAATATCTTAATATAATATGTTGTTGCTTCGTTCTTAAGGAACAACGAAATATATCAATATATTATGTTGCTTTGTTCCTAAGAAAGCACGCCATATATCAATATATGTTGCTGCTGCGTTCTTAAGAAACCACGCAATATATCAATATATTATATTCCCTTGCGGTCACCTCATTACTTATCGAGTTAATTTAAGGCTCCTTTCCACTCCGGAAAATTATCCATGGATTGGAACGGGAAAGAAAATTTCTCTTTGTGTTGAAGTCATTAGTTCCAACCCAGAGCTCACAACACAAAGAAGAATTTTCTTGTGCGTTCCAATCCACGGATAATTTTCCTGAGTTGAAAGTAGCCTTTACCTGATTGGTGATTGGTGATTACTGATCGAGTCTACCTGCAAAACATCAACTAATAAACTGTGTACTGAAGTCACTCAGTCACACTGACAGTTGTAATTAAGAGAACATCGGTATCTTTTCGAATCTTGCCACGAGAAATATTTGCGTATATAAGTATAACTATTCACTATATACGGTCGATCAAGCTATAAGTTTGAAATACCGGCCGCTTTAACACGATGCACAAAGACATGCATGTATCGACATTCAATTTATTCAGGCTTTAATCCCGTTCAGACACAACTGATATTAAACAACCGGGTATTTTGCATAAGCATGCAAATTCAAAAGCGGAAACCCGTAGGAATCAGTTTCCCCGATTCCCTGTTTTAAAGATAGCCGTAGCCGATAATGATGTTATTTTATAAAATAACATGTGTATAACGCGTGCTCTGATTGGGCGAAACCTGTGTACACGGAAATTTAAAGTGAAAGATTTTTTAATGTGAACTGATTTTAACGCGTAAAGTTGTTATTTTATAAAACAGTTACTTATATATGCTTTCCGTGTCCATCCAAACACGGAAACCATAAAGTAATTGTACAATGAGGCCTTAATTAAGTCCGCTTTCGTCTTTAGACGGGAGGTCAACTATTTGCTTCCTTCTAATATCATCATATCCGTGAAATGTCCATGGCATTCACATATGCCAAATTCTATGGAGCTGAGGGCTGATTACATGGAGAGTTTTCAGCCCGGACTGAGTTTCAGCCCGGTTAAACGAGCTGAAATTGCATCACGATTATATGAGCAGTTTGAGCCCGGGCTGAGTTTAGTCAGAACTAATCCTATATTTATAGTCAACCCGGGCTGAAATCTCAGCCCGGGCTGAAATAATCTGAGTGTCACGAAATAGAACAATAAGCCTATTACGCTTCTTTGAAGTATTCAGACGCTGATTAGTCGACTATTTGACTTGTGTGGTGAGACTGTGCTTATATGTAAAGTATTTAAAGATGTAACAAACACCCAAAATATAGCCATTTCAACGGTTGTTTTTTAGCCCGGGCTGAAATTATTTGCGATTACATGCTGCCTGGCTGAAACTCAGCCCGGGCTGAAATTTCAGCTCAAACCGGGCTGAAATTTCATGGCCTGGGACTGGAATTTTGCTCATGCAATCGCTTGCTCTGTTTTAATAGGATTTTATCCTTAGAACTTTATCCAAATCCGCTAGCGAATATGGACCGGGGAGTCCATATCCTCTAGCGAATATGGACCTACGGGAGTCTTTATTCGCTAGCGGATTTGGACTCCCCTCGCGAATTTGAACCCCTCGCGTATTTTCACGTATCGTATATTGAATATTAGACGGTTTTAGATAACAAGACGCGGACGTCAAGTAAGAGGACGTGAAAATGACGTATGCACCTCGCGTTCACTTCCGGGTTTTAATCTGGGACGGCTTGTTTGTCTTTTTCGAAGCAAATTTTTGTTTTCTTGTTACCTGTTTATTCCTGTATTGTTTTCAATCAGTTGTCAAGATATGTGCAAGAAAAGGCTTATATAATACTGGCCAAGTGTTTCCTGATGAATTAATATGGACATTCAATAATTTTTTTTTGGAAAAAAGTTATTTTTTGGTATTTTGAAAAGTGAACTTTTGTTGCATCATTTGGAATAAATACAACAGCTGCAGGTATTGTTTACGAGCTAATTGTAGCCTATTCAATCAAGTTTGTCAACTGTTCAGTATAAATATAGCATCAGTGTTTATATTGGTAAAATTTAATACTGTTTACGATAGTTTTTCAGGCTGGAAAGCGTTTTTTTGCTTGTCCTACTTTTTGCACTGTTGACTGTTGTGACAGAGCAACTAAAATTGATTGAGTTCTTACTGCTTTTAAGTGCTTTTATTTTCCTATTTTCCCACGTTTTCCTGATTTTAAACAGTTGTTAATATAACTTCAGTTTAGTTTGTTCTAAAATATTTGTTTTGGTGAAGATTACTAGCGGTGAAGTGGTTATTAACAATGCTTGCGGTTTTGTTGATTTGTTTATGGCCACCGAAAGTATTTGTCGAAAATCAACTCTTCTAAAATTTAGCGAAATACAAGAAAAACAACCTTGTCAATGGAAAAACTTTAGCTAGTATCATTAAACAATACATGGGGAACAAAATAGGATGATTTTTATTATGCATAGTCTCATATTTTTTTCAAAAGAAGCAAAAATCTGTGACGTTCTAGAGAGGACTTGAAAATTGTATTTTCGCGTCGTGAAATCGTCCAGGACGACGTCGCAAACCAGAAGCTGACGATAGTTGGCGCCAAATGACGACATCCACGTCCTCTTAACGTTCGCGTCTTGTTATCTAAAACCGTCTAATTGTACTGAAAGCGTTTTCTTTTCAAATCTTAGATTTTTAGATTGGAGAATGCCGTCAAAGTTTATGATTTATAATTTTTTGGTACATGGCCATGGGTTTATTTCTATAATCTTGGAATGTGCGAGAACCGTGAGAAGCGCATAAAGCCTTCACACTATTTTACTCCTTGGAATTGCTATCTGCTCTGACTTATGGAGCGCCGATGCTGACAATATTCGCAAAGCGTACGATGACATTGTCATTTGCAACAGATACTGAATTGTCATTCGCAAAGCAAAAAAAGGCCAAATTCTCATTCGCAAAAACATGTCATATTCTCATTCGCAAAAACATGTCATATTCTCATTCGCAAAAACATGTCAAATTCTCATTCGCAAAAACATGTCATATTCTCATTCGCAAAAACATGTCAAATTCTCATTCGCAAAAACATGTCATATTCTCATTCGCAAAAACATGTCAAATTCTCATTCGCAAAAAAACGGCCAAATTCTCATTCGCAAAAAACGGCCAAATTCTCATTCGCAAAAAAAGGCCAAATTCTCATTCGCAAAAACATGTCACATATTTTCTCGCAAAAAATATGGAATTTCGTAATGCAGGGTACACCCTCACTGGGTACGCCTGTTCGTAGGTTGGAAATTGAATTATTTTCCGCCCGGACAAATGCCTGCGGAGACAAAATGGCGGACCTGCGTTCAATTCTGGAAAGCGTAGTGAGTTTGTTTAACGAAATAGAAAGCTTTAATTCTGGAGCAACTGATCAGTTTACTAATTTAGGTTACCTAGAAACATTGAACGTTCGAGCAGAGGAATGTATTCGCCTTCTTCGTACATTATTACAAAGAATTAGTGAAATAACAAGGGAAAGACAAGGTCAAAGTATAAACCACAACATGCAGCTACGGGACGATTTCCAGCAGATATGTAACGCATTTGAAAGAAGCTACTACCGCTTCCTTCAAAGCACAACCGCCTCGACCGATCAATTAAACTTTTCTTGTCAAACAGAAAGGACATCTGTGCCTGGACGACCACGAGTGATAATCACAAGACAACAAATAGAAGCACTAAGGGAAATTCACTTTTCATGGTCTTGTGTTGCCAGGCTACTTGGTGTGTCAGAACGCACTCTGGATAGAAGAAGGCGAGAATTTCAAATGCCAATGGGAAGGGCGTGCTACTCAAATATCGGTGATGATGAGCTTGATCGTATTATTTCAGAAATTATTGGTTTGAGTCCAAACGCTGGTGAAACTCTTGTTCAAGGTGCGTTAAGACACCGTGGCTTCCTAATTCAACGTCGACGTGTACGTGCAAGTCTATTGCGTGTCGACCCAATTTCTAGGTTGCTTCGTCGACGTCAGCTAATATATCGTAGATGTTATCAAGTCAGAGCACCAAATTCACTCTGGCATGTAGATGGCAACCACAAACTTATACGATGGAGATTTGTTGTGCATGGAGCAATCGATGGATACTCGAGACTAGTAACGTTTTTGCATTGTAGCACAAATAATCAAGCTGCAACTGTGTTGCAACACTTCACTTCAGCTATTGGGAGATTTGGGTGCCCATCTAGAGTACGAACCGACATGGGACTGGAAAATGTTGAAATTGCAAGATATATGTTGTACAGGCGTGGCATTGGTAGAGGCAGTATTATTACAGGTTCTTCAGTACATAACCAACGAATTGAAAGATTGTGGAGAGATGTATTTCGTTGTGTTTCATACCAATTTAGAAACATATTTTTCTACATGGAGGAAAGCAACATTCTTGATCCCCTAGCTGAAGTTCACTTATTTTGCTTACACTATGTGTATTTACCACGTATAAATAGAGCACTCACTGAATTTGTAGAACAATGGAATCAGCATCCAGTAAGCACAGAAGAAAACAGGAGTCCATACCAATTGTGGGTTAGTGGCATGTTGGCATCAGCTAACTCATTGTCTACAGCAGTTCGTGATGTAATAGATGGTACTGAAGAGCCCTTGTTACAATATTATGGTGTTGATGAAGATGGTCCAATTGTTGCTGATGATGATGACAATATTGTCAATGTTCCTCCCTTAAATATTGAATTGTCCCAGGAACAAGAACACTTAATTATGGATCAAATAGACCCACTACTTGAAGACAACAATTATGGAATTAACAGTTTCATAAGAATGGTTAACTTGCTCCAATAGGTCAGTTTGCAGCATAAGATTATAATTTTTCTAATTTATGTATATAGTGGTCAACAGTCCTGTGTGGATGATTGTGTGTTAATATGAAGTTAAATTAGGGCCTGTTCATATGACCCCCTTTACCGGGACATCCCACTTACCGATGATCTCGCCGCCTAGTTATTTTCCTTTAAAATTTTGTGGTGTTCAAATGAGAAAGCGAGATGGCCTGCTTGCAACGATTTCGCTTCAATTTGGCAAGATCATAGTTGGGCAGGATGAAAAATGTTCCATACGAACATGCCAGCCCGTTTACCGGAATGAAGTCAAACAACCGAATTTCGATTTTTGCCGTTAAAAATTGTTTTGTGAAATGTTCAGCCAAAGGAATACTTTTTCTTATAAATAAATGGAGAAAAACACTAAATATTTGTTGCATAACTGAAATGTAAAAGTTTTCCACGCGCTGATTATATTGCTGCATTGTAATTTCATCTTGGCAAGCGGGATGAAAAACTCCATATGAATGCATGGGCATATTCATCCTGCTAGCAACAGACGTCTCGGTAAGTGAACAACCCCTTAATGTTGCATATTTTTCGCAGCCGTTCCTGGTTAGGTCTTAAAATTGTATATATACTCACTTGGATTACAAAACCCAAAACAACATCCTTAGTTTATTCACGTTTTCCTTCCTTAACCCAATTACTGGCAGCTCTACCAGTGACGAGTAAAATCGTTTGCCGTTAGACAGAGTAAATACTAAAGTAGGGCGCATCTGGGTGCATTTCCAGTTAATGGGTTAACAAGAGACATTGGCAGATAGGTTTGTTAACAAGAGACATTAGCAGATTGGTTTGTTAACCCATTTACTGGCAGTACTCTACCACTGACAAGTAAAATCGTCTGGTGTTAGACAGAGTAATTAGAGACCTTACGATTTTAGGACGGCAACGCGACGGCGATGGCCAAAACAAACTCCTTCAAATACAGACCTTAAAATATATTTTACAGGACCGTCTGACAAAATGTCCAATGACTTTGAGTTCTGGTCGGACATATGTATGATGATGTCCGATGACCTTCAGTTCAGTTCGGAAATAAGTCTGAATGACAAATTAATATCAGCACAATGTATTAATTTTGAACGGTAAATATTGTGAAAATATTAAATAAAATGTGTCATTCATACTTATTTCCAAGCCAAAATTAACTTGCTTGCCTATAACAGCAGTAAGAGTTCGACAAGTTACGCCCGTTACCACTTCACTAAAACAACATTTCCAGTTCAACTTTTATACACTACTCTGATTCTCCATTTAACATATACGAGCCTCTACGGTTTGGTCGGACACCAACACATTTGGATCAGACAAACAATAAACCTCAGTAGGTCGGACAGAATGTCCGGTGGTTTCCTCTTTACGTTGGGCAATTTCACGAATGGGTCGGACAATGTCCGTGACCGACCAATATTTTAAGGCCTGAAATAAATGGTAGTAAAGATAGTTCGTGGTATATTATCAATCGTATGAATTTAATACAGTTTTAGAAGTTGAAGACATTGGTTTTATGGTTGGAAAGAGTTCTGCTAAACCCAGTTTGAAGTTGCACTTGTTGCGACTTGGAATGCAGCCGTTGTATCAAGACGTGAAAATCTGTGATTTAGCATTGTAAACAGAGCGAGGACAATGTGTAAATTAATCATATATTGTAATTACTCAATTCTTTTCAATGATCTATTGTATTGGTAGCCGTTGCCGTCCTAAAATCGTAAGGTCTCTAGTACTAAAGTAGGGCGCATCTGGGCGCATTGCCAGTTAATGGGTTAAATTAATTAAACAACAAATGTTGTGTAAAATTATAGATATAAAAATTAATATTTCAGAAAGAAAAAAGTAAGGCCAAGAAAAGAAATAGATAGGTTTCCTATTTTTCGTTGCAAAAACTTATAGGTAGGGACTAGGGTAGGTCGGGATTCCTTTTTTCTTTTTTTTTATAAATTACTTTTATAAATGCTTATGCATGAAAGTGATATTCTTTGACTTTGAAAAGGGTACGGAAAATTGCTCGTAGCTCTTTGTAAAATTCAGATAAAAAGACTAGGGTTGGTGATTGCAGTAGCCAAAAGCTAGGTAGGGTCGGAAACTGGAAATCCAGGTCAATACTCACGGTCACAGAATGAATAATAAACAATTATTGGATTCAGCTTACACAGGATATTCAGTATAATTCAGACCTTGATCAGTGATCTGCCTCAGCCTTCAGCAGATAGCATTGACCTGGATCTGAATAATTCTGGATATCCAATAATTATCTGCAGTATTTTTTTGAGAATGTACACAATGTATATAGTACTCCAATCTAGACATTAACCACACAGACATATCCAGATTCCAGTACTATTTTCATAACTTCATTATTCAATGACTAACTAAAACACAACTATTATATTGAGGGTGTATAAAAACTAAACTAAGAAAATGGAAAATTTCTGACAAATTTATGTAAAATAATAAATATTGATATTTTATGGTCTTCAGATTTCCCTAAGGCTTAACAATAAAACTAGTCTGAAAAATAATAGATTTTTTAGTTTAGTGGCCATCTTAAAATTGTGTACCTCTTTATACACCCTGTATATCTAGATGTACAGTATGTACTGTGCTGCAGGTGATCATTTTTTGAAACGAAAATAAGTCTGCAGCTATAATATGAACAGTTACTGTAGGTAATACAGTATGTTTACCATATACAAACTACTCAAACCATAGTTAAAATCAAACATAACAAACATTGTTTACAATGTGGTTGCAGACAGTTTAGAACTAAATTGTTGTTCAAAACAGAACCTTGTTACTAAACAGAACTAAAAACAACAGTAACTTTGCTATAATGCAATAATTAATGTTTATTACAAAAAGTTTATTACATACATAAATTATCTGCATGTCTTTGTTAGAATTGACCATATCCTTTTGCCCCAAACCCTAGGGCAACATCCATTGCTCTTTTAAAAGCCAGGAAATCATTGTGACAAGAAGGCAGACGAATTTGGTGAAAACATGCTCCACTTTCCGGAAGGGTTTTGGTCTGATCGGCAAGTAAATCAACAACCAGTCTCGCTCCACCCGATATGCTGTTGTCCGCGGTCCAAAACTGGAGGAGGTTTATGGTTGATGGCGACTGTTCGTCAGTATCTGAATGGAAAAACCATACATATATGGTATCAATTACACGACATCTGAGTCTCCACATGCACACATACATATACATATACATACACAAATGCACGCACACACGCATACAGTACATATACAATTATCTAAACTATACATACATGGGTATAGTAATGTTACCTTCTGTAGTTTTTAGTTGCTTTATGTAGTCGATAAAAAAATTGAAAGATTCTGCTTCTTTCACATCTTCAGATGCACATTTTATAGAACGAATCACTTGCTCAGCAGATACAGAAAGATCACATGATTGTGGAAAGATTTTGCTGGAAAACACTGCTTGTTCTTTCAAAAAT